TAAAAACGCTTCATGATTGGCAGAGGTTTTTGGGAGAGGTACAGTGGTTTCGCCCTTCTCTTTCTATTAAAACAGGGGCTCTTAAAGCCCTTTATGACATTCTTCCTGGGGATCCTGCTCCAACTTCCCCCATACAGATTACCCCAGAGGCCAGGGATGCCCTACAATTGTTGTTAAGAAGTATAGAGCAAGCCCACCTTCGGCGCGTAGATTATGGGCAGCCCCTTGTTCTGGTTGTACTTTCATCTAGCTTTTCGCCCACTGCCTTATTTTGGCAGACTGGTCCTATTTATTGGATACATTTTTCAGCCTCCCCTAAGAAGGTAGTGGCCCCTTACTATGATCTGATTTTGCAATTGTTGTGGAAGGCGCACAAGTTTAGCATCCAAACCTTTGGAAAAGGTCGAGGTCAGGGTGGTTCCCGTGGGCCAGCCCTTTTCAGGAACTTATTGCCCCAGGCATTGCATTGTTTTTAGTAAACATGTTTTAGTAAACTTTGTCTTACAGCTGCCTACTCCCAGGCTGATGGGGAAGTGGGTCTTTGGCCAAGGTCTGTTGTCCCCACATGCCTCCACACCTGGTTTGCTACTGGGTGTTATTTAAAACGAAATAAGAAGTTTTAGCGTGAGAAATCTGAACCCACATGGGAGCATTTGAACTTGGCACTAGCTCCACAATGGTCGAAGACTGGGAGGAGATGTTTAAACATTTACAGGGTAGTTACTGACTGCCAGGTGCACACGGAGGCTTCAAGGCACCAGATCTCCTCAGACTCCTATCTGTTCCAGGACAGAGATACTGGTAACATTCCCATTCTGACGAAGAGGAAGCCGAGGAACATAAAGTTTAATTTGCTGTCTGAAAATGTGGTAAAGCAGGGTCTCAACCCTGTCTATGCAATGCAAACATCCCCTCCTACCCCCACAGTTCATTATACAAAGGGAATGCTCACCCAGAATGTGTAAGCATCTGTCTGCTGGGCAGACTCCTTGTTCTCTCCAGTGCCACAGAGTCAATTATTCAGACAGGCATCTAGCAATGACAGTGACTTCTGCTTAGGGGAAAATACCACCATCTTGTAATCTGACTGAAAGGATCAAGAAAGAGGCAGAAGAAATATCAGAGACTGCCACATTCTCACACCGAAGCCCAGGAAATTTCTGGTGTGGTAGAACTTACATGAACAAGAGAGGTGGTCTTGAAGGAGGTAAGCAGACACACATGAAGACGTTGTAGAACCCCCCGATTTGGGGGCACGATGGAAGAGGGGTGCAGACTGCAGGACACAGAGGTCCCTTCTGAAATACCTCTATTCTGCGGGTGATCCCCAGGGAAGTCAGTGTAGGGACGGTAGCCATCAAAACTGGAAGGTGCACTACGTATTGGGAAGTAATTTAAGAGCAACCGGGGGATTATTTGTCTCTTCCTCAGATGCCAAAAAGTAACAAACTGTTAGCTTGCAGCAAGCTTTTCCACCGGAACATGCAATTCATTCCAAATACAGACTGTTCCCAGGGAAGATAAATAGCCCATTCCCAGGGATGGAGCACACACTTCCTTGGCAGCCTTAGGATGGAAGGGGAGCACCCACCGGTGGAAGGGGAGCACCCACCAGTGGAAGGGGAGCACCCACCGGTGGAAGGGGAGCACCCACCAGTGGAAGGGGAGCACCACTAGTGTTTGTGGTACAGAGCGAAAAGCATTGTGGTATTGTTCTCCTACACCCTTTGATGCCTCTGTCATCGACCCACTCCTCCTGTCCTGTGAGACCCAGCTCTGGTGTTCATTCTGATACAGGGGGAATTGAGGTTCCCAGTGTCATTATCAAAAGAGTTTATAAGCAGATGCCATCGGAAGCAGAAGAACAATTTCATTTGTAGAGTTTAAAAGAAAAACCACAGGGCAAGGCAGCTGCAGACTTCAGCTGCTGCCCAGAGAATGGAGGAAAAGAGGGAACAAGCCATGGCATTGCAGCTGGCATGGAGGCCAGACCCATGGGAAGGCAGTGCTTGGTCAGCAGGGAGGCTGTAGAGAAAACACAAGGGAACCCCAAATGACAAGGGGGAGAGGCAGAACACATGCCTAGAGAAGAGGCAGAAGAAGGGAGAAGTCAGTCTTCTGGGTAAGTCAGAGAAGCCGGTCAACTAAGGCCCGCCCATGCTTGTGAGCCCGAAACTTCTGCACTAGGGATAGGATTCTGGGATGGGAAAGTGCGGCCTCTCATAGAAGGAATAATTATTCCACTGATGGAGGAAGTCCTTCTGTGTATATGTTTGTCTTACTGGTTGATAAAGCACTGTTGACCAATAGGGAAGCAAGATAGGTGGAACTAGGAGTCGAGGAGGATTCTGGGAAATGTAGTAAAGGGTAGGAGTTGCCATGCGATCCCAGGAAGAGAGGACAGCTCATTATATATTCTACCCATCTCTTTATCATGACTTAAGGCGAGCCCATCTTCCTAGAGGTGGTCCCTTGGCCAAGATGGTGGAGCCAGCACAACGGGATGGAAGGTTAGGCTCCACCCAGACCAGAAATTCTACCCTCTTAACCATTAGCATTTTTTTTCTTTCTACTTTAACCATTTTCCCACAACACCATTAACATCCCACTTTCCATCCTTCCCAACCAGAAGGGATATCTTCATTGTTATTTTTTAATCTGATGTTTATTTTACTTTAATTTTAAAAAGTCATATTTTTATAGGGTAGAAAAAAATAGAGAAAACTACCAAAGGCTAGGGGTGAGTGAAATACAGGCATGTCCCCCTGCCATCCACTCTCTCTTGGACTTCCAAGAGGTATTTTCTATTTTCAGTTTCTTGCTGCTTTTCCAAAAAAAACAAAACAAAACAAAACAAAACAAAAATGCTGACAAAGCACGATCCCTGACTGTCCCTTGCTCTCACTCTCACTCCGCTCAGCATGGAGCGTGGTGATTCATCTGTAGGAGATGGGCAGATCGCCCTCTGTCTTTGCTCACGGCTGTCTGCCGTCACTGTCCCGTGGGCCCCTCCAGTGTCCCGTGGGCCCCTCCAGTGTCCCGTGGGCCCCTCCAGTGTCCCGTGGGCCCCTCCAGTGTCCCGTGGGCCCCTCCAGTGTCCTGTCACCTCTGCTCTGGTGCTTTCCTCCTGCTCCCACTGGCTGCTACAGCCTCCACCTACGTGCTCCTTCAGTCCGCGATTAAAAACTCAGTGGTGGCTAACACTGGCACTGCCCATTGCTGCATGTTCTGGGGGCATCTGCAGTCTTAATTTAGTAGGTACAGAATGCAATGGTTAAACTACAAAGCTCTCGTGTAGCCTAGCCTTCTCTCCAACCTGATTATAAAGCTCTTTCATGGAACCTTTTTTTTTTTTTTTTTTTTTTTTTTTTTTGGTCAGGAAACAAGAGATTCGCTAACTGGACTTGAGACCCCTTCCAAAAGAAGGAAATAGAGCCAGCTACTCAGTGCTAGTGAGGACCTAGGTCCTGGAGGTCCTTAGCCACTTTGCTAAGTCAGCATAATCCCTAACCCCATTCTGAACATTTGTCCTTCTGCCCACAGACAAGTATAGTCCTCACTCCTCAGTCAGGGAAACTTCTCTTCCCAACAGGTGGAGACCATTACAGAAGACCACAAGCAATCCAAGTGTAGAGTGGTGGAGCCCAGTCCCAACAGATGATCCACAAAACTCCCCATACCTAAGGCTCGGGGAACACTGCCCTAGAAGGGGTAGAGAGCCTGTAAGAACCAGAGGGGCAGGGAGTTTGCCGTGAGATTGTGTCTGCTAGTAATGTCAGGAGACACACCCATAAAGCCTCAGTAACATGACGGCCACACATGACCCAAGCAAGGATGGCACTAATAGACACACCAAAGCGGACAAGGGGGGAGGTTGGGAGTCCTTGAGGCCTCAGCCCTTCCCAGAGAACTACAGGCAGCTAAGGAATGCTGGGAGTGGGAGGAATGGTCTTCTCCAGGTCATTAAATGCCAAATGGTCAGCCCTGAAGACATACATACTGGTAACATTGTACAGACTGGGCAGGTTTTGCTCGCTGTTACACGTATTTATATGTCTAGATAAAAATATTTTTACAATATAAATACGTGTAACAGTAATGAGTGAAGGAAGAGTCCATGAATTTTAAACAGAGCAAGATGAGGCACATGGGAGGATTTGGAGGGGGAAAGGAAAGGAAGAAATAATGCAATTATATTATAATTTCAGAAGGAAAAGAACTGAAAAAGCAAACAACAGAAACCCTCATTCAATTCCATCAAAAAATAATAAATAGAGGTCTTATTTCTACACAATGAACTGCCCAAGCCTTGAGTTATTGCTTTATTTGATTGCTTTTGGCATTTGTGTAAATCTATGTAACCACCAATCAAAAGGAAGAATGACTAATTCCATGAATCTGGAAAGTTTTCCCCATGTACTTTTCTAGTCGTTTGTTGTTGCTTCAGGTGAAGTGTGTTCTCTGATGGTTTCACACAAGTACATAATTCATCTGACTACCCTTATTCTTCCCTCCTTATCTCACCCCGACTCCTTCCAGGACGCCATCCTCCCTGAGGGCTCCTCCCCAGGTTCATGTCCCTTTATTCTGTGGTCCTCTGAGTTTACCCTGGGCCATCTGTGTGAGCACAGGTGTGGAGCCATCCAAATGAGCCTGGGAGACTCTCCACTTGGCACACATCTGAAGATAATGGTTCCCGCCCCCCAGAATCCTTCAGCAGAGTGGGCTAGGACCCTATGGGTCCCTCCCTGACCAAGGAGTGACTGCTGATGGGTAGAGTCTCATATAGGCCCAGTGTAGGCAACCACAGCAGCAGAGAGCTCACTGCTGCAATGTCTGTGTCATCCTACAAGATGGCGTTCTGCAGCCCTTCTCTTTTTCTCCTGGTTCTTTTGTTCTTTCTGGTCCCTCTTGTGATGGTCCTTGAGCCTTAGAGGGGGTGGTGTAAATGTCCTCAGCAAGCTAAGTTCAAACATCACGCCAGCACCAGAGGCAATGACTAATGCTTACCACCATATTTAATTTAATTCGATTTAATTTAATGAATGTCCCAATACTTGCATGGGATAATACAGCAAGATGCTTATATTCCTTTATTATTTCTAATGTATGAGTAATGTTTTATTTCACAAGACTGATCTTTCTTCTTCTCTTTTTAATAAATTTCTCTTATTTCCTGTAATTTTTACATGTTATTATAAGAGTTCTGTAGTCATCACTTTGCTCTTTTCTTAGAGAAATATCTCGAACATGAGCTAACTGTCTGTTGAACTCTAACAGGAAACTACCCAAATGCCCCTAAAATGATCCTATGTGGAGGGGCTGCAGAGAGGGCTCAGCAGTTAAGAGTGCTTGGTGCTCTAACGGTACCTGTTTTTGGTTTCCAGCAGATCCCCCTCATGGGGCCTCGGCACCACCCATAACTCCAGTTCCTGGGTGTTGGGAGCCCGATGGCCTCAAGGCTTTCTCAGAGGCCCGATGAAAGGGCAAAGGGACGTCAGTGTTGTCGTTGCCCAATAGCTGACTAGTAAGATCCAGTCTGGGCCTGGAGCCTGGTCCTTCAATTGTTTAAGGCTTCTGTTCCAGGAACCCAGCTCTCCCCCGGAAGGGGTGCAGTCGTGAAGGCAGCTGTGTCTGCTGTCCCCTGTCTCCTCCTGGCCACATTGTCTGATTTAGTTCTGGGTCTCCTGCAAACAGTATACAGGATGTGTACTTAACAACCCTGCTCAGCAGAAGTCAACAGCTTTTGCAAGACCCCCAGGCCCCAATTATTGCATTTGTCTCCTTCCTTTCCCGTGTCTGGTCCTCCCTCCTGGCACCTTGCCTCAGGACCCTGCAGGGCTGTGTTTTCAATGCATCTGCAAGGCAAGCTTCTCTCCCTGTGTGGAATGACTGTGTGTTCGGTTACACAAGTAGCTTGCTGTTGGCTTCTTACTGCTCAGGCTTCTGGTTAGATACTCTTGCTGTCCAAGTCCACCCCCTTTAACTATCTCAGAAGTGGAACCCAGAAGCCCAGACTTGGCTGTTTATGTTGGGATGTTGGAAATGTCAGAGAGGCCCAATTTTTACTTTAAAACTCAAGGAAAAATTTCTCTCTCGTCAAATGGTCTGCAGCATTTTAGAAGACCATCCATCCCAAGTCGCCGGCCATGCCACTTTCTTGTAAGATTAGTCTGGTGACTGGCATAGAGACTGGGGCAGCTCCTTATCCGTTTCCTGGGAACTTTTCTATGAAATATTCTTGAATGTAAAAATATCCCTCATTGATTTAAACACAACCAAAAGGGTTTAAGAAAGCTATGGTGGGCAAAACAGACTAGTTACGTACTTCACAGGGCATGCCTCCACCTTGCCTGCTGCTCTGATAAAAGAAACAAAGCCCCTCAGACCAAAGAAGCCAGCCAGAGGACAGAAGAGAGTTTGTTATGGCCCACAGATCCAGGGTACCCATCGTGGTGGGGAAGGCGGCCTGGCAAGAGCTGGAGAGAGTAATGAATGCTTATGTGCAACTAGCTTTCGCTTTTGTGTACAGGAGCTAAGTGCAGAAAGTGCCGCTGCTCATTTTTAGGGTTCATTTTCCAGCCCTCATAACCCAATCAAGACAGTCTCTACAGGTGTGACTGGAGCCTTAACTGCTAGAAGATTCCAGACCCTGTTGAGTGAATAACCAGTAACCCTCACATAGCCCTCCCTCTGGGCAGATATGTCAGGTGGTGATTTCTACTGAGTGCTTGTTCATACATGCTGGCTATAGAAAATGCCCACTGCTAGGATTTGGGTTTGGGATGCCCCCCCACCCAAGCCAATAGCCTGTGGGGCTATTGCAAAGTCTAACCTTTAGGAGACAGGGCCTCACAGGAGATCTTGAAGACATCAGAGATGTGTTCATTTCTGTTCCCTCCCTTCTTTTCAGTTCCTGGTCATGCGGTAAGCAGACACACACTACTTTGTGACATGCAGCCTTGGGCCTACGGTGTGGCGTTGAGTAACCATGGACCAATGTTAAGAGAAGCTTTTTCTTTGCTAGCCACTTTGGTTTATCACCTGCCAGTCGCCTGGGCTCTGCCGCTTTGTAGTCCCCAAATAAACACACAGGAGGCTATATTAATTATGAAGCTGTTGGCCTTGCTTGTTTCTTACTAGGTAGCTCTGACTTAAGTAATTACCCCATAATTGTTAATCTAAGTATTTTTCTTACCGGAGAATAGTTCCAGGCTTCCTACCCCCATGGCGTTACATGTTGACTCTCTTGTGTTTCTCCTTCCCATAATCCTCCTGGACTCCTAGCCCCACCTATCTAGATTCCTATTGGCCAGCAGTAATTTATTGACATATACACAGGACTTCCCCAACAACCAAAATCTCCACAGCGGTGACCAGAAACAGGGGGGTCTCTCAATTATGGTGATGGAAAGCCCACTGAACAACCCACCTCTGACATGGCAGCAGCATATTTTTTTTGGCCCAATAGGTTTACCCATTACTGTTCATCTAACTCAGCAAAAACTCCATGGTTATTCTACGGTGAAGGCCGGTAACCCCAAGGCAACCCTGATGCAGAACTTATGCAGACGTGGTACTCTGTCAAAAATGGTTAAATAGCAGGCTCCATCTGTTTGCTTTCGGGCTTCCTGGTCAAGGGTGTCAGCCATTTTGTGCTGACTCATACCCCCTACCTCATGTCCAGGGTTAGCCATCTTGACCATCCTGGATATCTGTATCAGCACCATGTTTTCTAAACATGAGTTGGCCCTAAAGGCCCTGTATTCTCAACAGATGCCTGAAACATTCTCAAGAGTTTGTAAAGATTTGAGGCAGGGGATAGGGACTAGGTGGCATCCTAATGCATATCCCCCACGATGTCAGAAAAGATCCATGTCCACACTGTCCACATCCCAAGGCTTTTTGACCCACACACACAGTCTTCAAAAGTAACAAAATCTTTTAAAAATGATTTGCTAAATACACACCTACACCCGCTTCAGGACACACTGGTTTGTAATACACCAAATCTTACTGCAGGATGTGCCCTCCCACCCCCACCCCCAATAGCTTAAACAGCAAGAAAACAAGGTTATTTATGTTTGTTTGTTTGTCAAGTCTTGAATCAAAGCTATGAAGAACTCTCGTGCAGCTTCTCATATCCTGCAAGGGCTGTGACTCAAATCCAGGCGATAGAAACCTCACCATATGGAACCCGTTAAGGAATTCAGAAGAGCTAACAGAGCCCCAAGGAAAAATATATGCTATTGTGTGACAGTGTGGTTGTGTGATGTGGTTGCTGTGTTACAATGTGGTTGAATGTGGTTGCTGTGTTACAATGTGGTTGCTGTGTTACAATGTGGTTGCTGTGTTACAATATGGTTGCTGTGTTACAATGTGGTTGCTGTTGACTATGTGGCTATATTACAATGTAGTTGCTGTGTGACAGTGTGGTTGTATGACAGTGTGGTTGCTGTGTGACAGTGTGAGATTTTTCAGGGTTATTTAGAAATGCTCTTTCTCGCAGCGTTTCGCAAAGCTTTATCTCCATTTATGATATTAAAACAGGAAAGAACATTGGCAGAAAGCTTTATGTCATTTTTTTCCTGCCAAGGAGAATTCTAAGACCAGCATTTTCTTGTAAATGCCCTTGCTGGCAATAATTGCTGCCCAGGCATCGAGATACAATACGGATGTTTCCTTTAATCTAAGCTGTGTATGTTTCAATATCTAACCATTGAAGCCATTGTAACAGGAGACACAAAAAGAAATTACTTTGGCAGTATCCTGAGATGTTGGGACAGATGCTGTCATAGCCACGGGTTGAGAGAAATCTCTTCAAAGCAGGGGAGTCTGTCCCTGGAACCTTATCTATTTTATTGCAACACGATGGAATGTAGACATTCTCTCACACTGCATTCTCATCCACTGACTGACTTGGCTCTTAGTGCTGAGTGATAATACAAAGACAAACTTTCACCGACTTACCAACAACAGAAACAAGTATTTCTCATCAATCATGTCATTAAGGCCCCAAATGCAATGTAAAACTAGAAAAAGTAACTCAGATAAAATTGCATCTTCCCAAGGTGCTTATGGGCAGATGGTCACAGTCTTACAAACCTTTTCAAAGAGTCCCTCTGTGTCCGTGAAGCCCAGCATCTGCCAGTAAGAATATGACCACTTATCACGTGTTTCATCTACACTCGAGGTTTCCAGGGTTCCCTTTTTGGATAAAGATGGGTTTTCTAGAACTCATTCCTTGGCTGTAGTGGGGTATTCACTATCCCAGAATGCTGTGTGATTAAGCAGTGGGGAGATTTCCATTATAAAGTCAAATAATGTAAAATGATGTGGAATGACAGTGATTGGAAGGCTTATGCTGGTAAAGTGGGGGGTTGAGTCTAGCCTGGGCTACATAGGGTGGCCCTGATTCAAAACAAAAACACAGCAACAACAAAAGCCATTGAGTCACAGAGCAAAACAAAAAGATGTGACTATGGGAAAGGGCTTTGGGGTGACGGGGCTGGGGACTGAGGGCAATTATATATAATGCATTTATACCTGTATGAAAATGTCAAAGAACAAATTTAAATAGTTTTTAAACGATTTTAAAAAATCATTGAATGAGGTTCCATGAGCTTGGATTTCTGATCTACATTTATCTAAGTTTCGTAACACTGATGGGGACAGTTGTCCAATTTTTCAAGCAATGTTCTGAACTTAGTGTTTCAGTAGTAAGAGAAACTGACTGCTTTCCTGACCCTATGATTCTAAGCAATGGCCAGTGCTACTGTTGCCAGCCTGGGATCTAGGACCCTTGACCCTGAAGATACAACAGTGCCCTGGAAGTCCTCCGATGGCCAGAGCCCCCAGGGTTGGCTCTAAGGCTCCTTGCAGTCTTTATCAACTCCTTCCTTCCCTTCTTTTCCCCTCCCTCCCTCCTTCCCTCCCTCCCTCCCTCCCTCCCTCCCTCTCTCTCTCTCTCTCTCTCTCTCTCTCTCTCTCTCTCTCCATCCCTGATCATTCTTGTTCACCTGTTTTTTAAAGATTACATTAGGGGGGCATCTAGTCTATAACAGTTGAAGAGTCATCTTGAGTTCATTGAGGTTTCTGATGGCAAAATGTCTAGGTCAAAGTGTTTCAACATGCCTGGCAGGGCCTGTGCCCCCAGGAGTGTGGTGGTTAACAATGTTTGACTTGACAGCAACTGGAATCACCTCAGAGTAACACAGAATCACTCCTAGTTTGCTTTGCTGTTGTGATAAAACACTGACCAAAACCAGCTTGGGGTGGAAAGGCTTCTCTTCATTTCACAGTGACACCCAACCATTGAGTGGAGTCAAGGCAGGAGCTAGAGGCAGGAACTGGATCACAGGCCACAGAGCAATGCTGTTCACTGACTTGCTTCCCCTGGCTTGCTCAGCCACCTTTGTTAGTCAGGCCAAGCCCACCTGCCTAGAGACAGCACCACCCACGTTGGGCTGGACCTTACTATATTGTGTGCTACTTACCTTCATAGCCATTACCCCAAGCCAGTATGATCTTGGCAAGTTTGTAGCTAGAGATCTCTTTCCCCAGGCGACTCTAGGTTTGTGTCAAGTTAACAGCTGAAGCTTATGATGAAAGCTATGTCTCTGAGGTTAATTGAAGTGGGGGAGCCGCCACCCCACCTCCGGGCAGCTCCTTCTGGTGAGATAGGTCCAGATTGAATGAAAAGAAGAGCTAAACGCCAACACTCACCTCCCTGACTAAGCGCCCGCACTAGCTTCCCTCTGCAGCTGCCTCATGATGCCATCTCTGTGATGTTCCTGCCTTGATGGACAGCATCCTTGAGCTGTGGACAAAATGGAACCCTTTCTCCCTGCGCTGGTTAGTTCTTTTGTCTACTGGTACATCTAGGATCAGCTGGGGAAATGCCTCCATGGCATTCACCTGTAGACAAGTCAGTGGGGCATTTCCTTTATTAAAGACAGATGGGGGAGGGCCCGGCCCACTTCGTGTGGTGACACCCAGGGCAGGTGGTACTGGGTTGTTGACGAAAGCAGGCTGAGCAAGCTGTGGGGAGCAAGCCAGTAAGCTGCTCCTCCGTGGTCTCTGCTTCAGTTCCTGCCCTGACTTTCCTTCGTGGTAGACTATAAGCGTAAGTACAATAAACCCTTCCTTCCCCCAAGTTGCTGTTGGTCAGTGTTTTAAAATACCTCCTCAAGTCGCTTTCCTCGGGAATTGTAGTCCCAGCACTGAGGTAGCTGAGGAGGCAGAAGACTTGGCCCGCTGTTCCCACAGCTGTTCAGGGGTCTGTTTGAGACAGCAGAGCTGCAAAAGGCCGTTTGCTGGGAACCCCTTCTGCAGGCAGCAATCCATTGGCTGCCAGCTAGGGAGTCAGACTTACCCTTCCCAGATACCTTTGCTTATTTGCAGAACAATGCAGATTGAGAAGAACACTTACAATGTCAACTTAGAAAAGATAGCAACAGGAACAGTGATTGAAAACGTGCTTTAGCAACAATAAACACCTGCCCAGTGTCCCTGCAGAGATGGGTCTCCCCCATGGCTGCCTCAGGCTGAGGGCCTCAGATATCTGATTGACCAACCCTGTGCAGAGTTTAATCACTTTCAGACTTAGCTGGCTATGGGTCTCCCCTATGTCTCCCCAGGCTGAGCACCTCTGGGGTTTCTGGTACACCAACCCTAAGCAGAGTTTAGTCGCAGTTATAACCTTAGATGGCTATGGAAAGCCCTGTAGCTAGTGAACTGAGTATGCTATGAACAACTAACTTTCAGCTGAAACCAAGTTACTGGTTGACTGAAGATGCTGTGACCAATTAAGTCATTTTCTGGGCCTCATTTCTGTTGTCCTAAAACACTGTGAGATGCCCAAGTTGCAAGTCAAGGTTTGTTTTGTTTTATCTGGAACTTTTCTAAATTTAACTGGTATAAGGGATATTCCCTTTCTGTGTAGCAGGCAAAGAGCCAAAGAAGAACTTCTGTGGTCCAGGAGCATCTACCTGGTAACCGAGTGGTAACGTCATAGAGTCCAGCACATTCGTTGTCGACTACCGCATCTGGGTGATGGGTAAGTTCTCTCCTGGATTTTGGAGTTTCATGGATTTTTGACTTGAGAAGGCTGGGTTTGTTTCAACAAAATCCTCATTTCAAACCATGTTTGCTGACGTTGTAACAGAAATGGGACTAGGCCCTGTAAGGAAATCTCTGGTGTCTGACTGGGTCAGACACAAACTCAGATCTCAGCCTGAGATGGAAGAGTGGCCTCTGACCTCAGATACTGCACGTGGCCAGAACTCCCACCTCTGCCAACAAAGGGTTAGGCTCAATAGGTAGGTAAGGCTGCCAGGAGCTGGTAAACTCTGGGCTCAAAGGGACCCAGGTCTTATAAAATGCCCCAGATTTCCATCAAGGGTTAGTTTACCCATCTGCAAGAGTCATGGGCTTGTGACAGTGCCAAGGGGTCAGTTTGTGCTGTAAGAGGAGCTTGTGGGCACTGCCTGGTTAGAGGGACTGCACTCTGGCCAACTTCATTTGTAAGGACTGCCAAGATCCATAATTCTTTTAGAGAAATGGGTAAAACTTAAATACTTGGGGATTTTGAAGCCTCAATACAGATGACTTGGTTTGGATACAATTATTTCATTTGTAGATATGTTAGAAAAGGACCAAAGGCCTCATGTAACCAGGGAGACTTTGCCTGGAGTGCCTTTGAAAGGCTGAGTTGGGAAATATGTGTCTGTGGAGGTTGAGGCTCTGACTGGGGGAATGCGTCATTATCTTGCTTTGTGCCCTGGTTAAGATCAGGACCTCAGAACAACATGCGAGGAGTCTAATTGCTATCTGGAAGACACTTTGTTCTTGTCATTTGTTTATGAACTCTGCTCAAAACTCGGTAATTAAGTTGAAAGGTTACAGAATAGATTGGAAAGTGGTCTGTCTTCTCTGGGGAGTCTCTGTTTGGGCCCTGGGTTTTAGTGGTTCTCCCTCTCTTCATGAAGAATGAGTTCTAGCTGTCAAGAGCCTCTTACAACAGAGACAGTGTTTGGATTCTGGTCCCATGTCATGAGCCTCACTTTTGTCCACTGTGACCTAATGGCAATGTCTGCTCATCATCATCATTTTAATTCCAGACTGATGATGATATTGGGACCTGAGACCTGATTTAGAGCCAGTCCATCAAGAAAAGGGGCAGGGCCCTTTGACCAGAGGCCCCCCCCCCCTCTCTCTTATTGAATGATCAAGAGGGAAGTAAGTATCCTTAGAGTAGTTTCTAAAGAGGTGAATAAATGGCGTCTTGGACAAGGTCTGTTGGGATTATAGGCTGTGAAGGCCTCCTTTCTTACCATAAGTATTAATGTTGGGGTTTTCTGTTTTCTTAAACAGTCTCCAAATAGTCTATGAAATAAATGGAAAGTAATGTGTTTGCATTGTGCTGTTTTCTTCTCTCTCTCTCTCTCTCTCTCTCTCTCTCTCTCTCTCTCTCTCTCATTGTCTGTTTTAAACTTAAGTAACCTATAAGTTTTAGAGAGTCTTCAACTTCTTTAATGGCTAAATTAATGGCAAGCGGATCATAATTGGTAAGAATGAGTAAAGTGGGTGGAAATAAATGGAGAGACAGTTGGCAGGCAAAACTATCTGCAGTCTGTGTCATGGGGTCACCTTCTGGTGGGTCAAGTGGCAGTTACTCACAGAGTGTCTGAGTCATGTCGCTGAAACTTGTTCTTTGACCAGTCTGGGTTCATTCTATGTTAGAGGGGAGACTGAAGACAGGAGACATGACTGAGGCTGCTGGGAATTCTCCCGTTTTGTTGATTGGTTCAGATAGTCCGATTTAAGTTGTCCAAACCAGAAATAGCTGTTCACTGAGAAATTTCTGTGTGTACATGGAAGGCCTAGGTCCGCCGGTAACCCCAAGTCATGAATATGTTTGCCTCGCCAAATCTCACTGTCTAGGTGTAGCACGCATCACATCTAAGTCCTGGCACATTCTAGGGTCACACTTGCCTACAGTGACAAAGCAGGTGGTTCCCCCTCCCTGGAGGGCCGCAGCAGAGTCAGGTGCAAAGTAAGAAAGCTCAGAGCATCGGTAATGATGTCAGAGGCCACGACGGAAAGGGAGTGCCTGTCCAGGGCGCCCGTGCTTCACTTCTGGGACGAGTTGAACCGTTGATGGTGAGGCATGTCTCAGGACAGCAACCTGTCACCTTCTGTTCCACACGTGGTCCTGGTCTCTTTGGTCAAAGTTTGATAGTAAATACATTGTGTGGGTGATCATCTTTATGCATTATAGGATCTGTCCATTGACACACAAAAAAGATTGTTATGAGAAAACATTCTCAACTTCATAAAATTGCACTCATTTATAAAACATGAATGTGAAATGGTTAAAAATTGCTTGCTTCCTAGACTGTCATTGGAAATTAAAGTTATTGTGAAGGACCTAAGGTAATCGCGACGTCCCAAGCTCAACAACCAGACAGTTGGATGCAAACCGCAAGAGGTTTATTGTTCACACAGGCGTCTGCGAGCACTCTAGCAGCCTTAGCCAGCTGAGAGCACCGGGCTTCAAGACAATTTTCTTTTTATATACATAATCTTGGCAAGTAATAGGGGTGTTTCAAAAAGCATGGGCGTAAGTTAACCTTCCTGGAGAAACCACAAGGTCAAAATGAAGCTTATCTCAACAGTCTGTCGGTTCAATGCGTCTGTACTCTGGACCAGATGTTCTTTTCGATCTGACCTTGTTCCCTGCCTAGGGGACCTTGGAGAATTTTCCACTGGGGTGACCTTCTGAGTCTCAAGGGAGGTGTATTGAGGTCTTTCAATTGGTCTCAGAGGTTAAGAGTCCAGGCTGTTCTTCTAGAGGACCTGAGTTCAAGTCCCAGTACTCACGTTAGGTGTCTGACAACCACCTGTCTGTCATTCCAGATCCAGGCGAATCCATACCTTTTGTTATCCTATAGTCACATATACAGACATACATATTTTTTAAATCAAAAATGAATTGTTAAAAGAAATTAAGGTCATTAAGACTTAAAAACTCTATTACATGTTGACTGTGCTTCAAAGTGACCTGTTGTTATGTAAGGAAGCTAAGATATAACTTTGATGCTGAATCAATGAGCTCTGAGAGATGTATTTTTAAGGAAAAAATTACTTTGCTGGCCTTAGTAAAATGACTAGCTGTTCTAAGCTGGGAAGTCATTATGCAGAGACAAGGGACAATATGGGGACACACTGGGGAGAATTGTAAAGAAAAGTAAAGGGATTTTCATGATCCAGCTGGCTCAGCTGAGGAAGGAAGTGTAAGGCTTTCCAAGCACTGAGCATTAACATCCAAAGTGTGTCTATGCAAAATGAGAATCCAGCCCTTTCCTCCAGCCAGACTTTGTTAGGGACCTAATCTCCTTCACAGAAAGCAGCGTTACTAGGTCTCTGTAGAAAACGAGTCTTCTACATGGATGAGTTGGTGTGTTTCTTGTGGCTGTCTGACTTCTTTGTTTACTTTATCAATTGGATTTATCATTTGGGTTGGATGAATGAGTCTCTCCTGGTGAGCTGTGATCTTATTTGATTTTTTTTTTTTTGATTTTTGATAGGTTTCCCAGAATCAGATTCTGAGATATTTTTGACCTAGAATTAACTGAGGGATAAATAAAATTAGGCATGCTTGATATAAAAGGTCATAGCTGATGTTAGGTCTTCTCCCAGGCTGCATTTGTATAGGAGTTATGCAATGGCCTTAGAAACTAATTGCTCCCCTTTGTGCTGTCAATCATAATGGTAGTCAGTCGGATGGTGTCTGCAGCAGAGATGATGGCCTTCAGTTGTTCTAAGACTGTAACGAACTCTCATGAGATGTTTAATCATGACTTTCATAAGTCTCATACTACAAGTGGCTAATTGTTCATTCTGGCCTAAAGTATTTCATCTTCAAGGAAACTCGGGGAAAGGAGTTTGACAGGCACAGGTTTTTGATCACTGTGAGATCCTATTACTGCACTGGCTAAGAATTTCTAGAAGTCTAGGGGAGAGATTGATGGGTCATAAGCTTACTGTGCCAACATCAGGCAGAGCAGGGACTGATGGGCTGCCAAAGAAATGCTGATGGATTTCCCCACTGGGTTTGCAGAGCATATGCTATGAGCACTTCCTTAGGTGGAGGATAGCAACCTCTATTTTTAGCTTCTCCTCCTTTGGCCTTCTTCCTTGGCAGACTAGCCTTGTAACCGAACTTCCAGACATGCAATCACACCCTGCCTGAGTTTAGCCAGCTTGTGGGACACGAACTGACCTACTAGCTGACCCCTGGAGGGGTCTGTGCAGGTGTTAATACTTTGTGTTGCTTGTGGATAAATGCATCGAGTAATACAGAGGCTTGGTTATAAGAGCATTAAAAACAGGCTGTTTAATTGTAATAGATGCGTTCTTCAGCCAGCTTGTTCTGTAACCATACGATGTTTAGTTGGCCTAAGGGGGGTTGGGAGGGCTGGACCAGAAGCCTGGAGCAGGAGCCAAACTCTTGTCCTAGTAGTCATCACATTTTCCCTGGTGCACTGTGTTCTCTTGGTTCTCTGTGTGCAGTCCTCTGCTGAATACTAAGTGGCCCCTTTGGCTAGAATGACAGGAGCTCATGCATGGTCGTGAGAACACCATAACCTATGCATGCTGTGTAGCTGAAATCTAGGATGGTGATGATGGGATGATAACCCAAGCCCTGAGTGTTGGTCAAACTCTTGGTGGGATTATAGCAAAGAGGAGACTTGCTAGATGGAATTTTTATAGGCAGCATGCATTTGGATAGGCCATCTACATGGGGCCAGCAGACCAAAGGGAGCTGAATGGTAATGGCTGAGCTCTGCCTGGCTGCAGAAGGGCTCAATTCCAATTACCTGATGAAGTGGTGATCAGACAACTAGTTAACATCTAAGCAACTGCACAGTTGCCTGTGATTGTAGCCAATCAACTGTTTTCTGTGCCTCCCTCTGCACAATGGGAACTCTCAGAAACATCTTCAAATCTGTCCAACTTGCGAGCCACTTTTGTTCTGCTCAAATAATATGGCCA